ATGGTTGATGGTAAATGGATTGTTGACATGTAAATAATAAAATGAATTTAATTGATAAACTTTAAGTGTTGGTACCAGAACGTAAAATCATCATAACATAATATCATAAATCATAACATCACTGCCTCTTTCTTACTGTCAAATACGAGATGTTAGTCATGCTTGAAGCAGATATTTGAATGTGAATATTCTTTATCGTAAGGGGGATTGGTCAAGTTTTTGCTCAGTAATATAAAATATATTATTACCACACTACTCAAAATCTGATTTCGAACCGTTTTTATTCCGACTTGTTTAAGATAAATGCAATTTACCTTCCCCTAGTAGTAAATAAATCTTATAATTTGTTAAATCGAGTAGGTTATTGTTTTTGTCCTGACGTTTTACAACGAGAGCTGTAACACAATTCAGTTTACAAACTACGTTGCCTATCCAAAGGCAAGAAGTGAATCAGGATTTGAACCAATGCCAAGAACTGGTCTACTGCAGCGTTTAAAAGTCGATGTACTCAGTGAATCTCCCTGATGTACGTTTAATAAACATTGGACAATGGTATTTTATTGACTATGATAATGCATTTTTATAAGGTTTGTGGAGTTTATAAATAAAGTTTGATGTTTGTATCTATAATTCGTATAAGATTTATAGTGGCAAGATTATTAGGTTATTCCACAGATGTCCATGTAAAAAATCTAAAATTATGATCACGCTAAACAGGTCCAGTTGTGGGTTTGTTTTGCACCCAGACTGTTTTGGTACAGTTGAAGCACTGGGGGCTGCAATTTCGAGAATCAAACATTATTGAAATGGTGTTTTGGTTGTACATGGAGGGGGAGCAGACTGGCAGTTCGGTTCCTCGTAGCATAGATTAAAGGAGTCTATACTCCTTTTATCTATGCTCGTAGCTTGAACTTTGCCTTCCTAATCCAGCCTAACTTCGGAATACTTGGTGCAGCTTCAAATTCGCATTTAGGGGCCGACCTACCATCCACAAATGCCTAAATAAGGCAAACTTAAGCGCGCATATGGGGTGGGGCGGCGTTTGCCCTGGAAGTGCCAGGAGGGGGGGGGGTGCTTTGGATTGCCTAGTTTGGCCTGGTGTACCCACCCAGTTTTTAAAAATCACATGAGTAGCTTAAGTTCATAAATACACTCAACTCATTGCAATTTTTGACAATTTATATTTAAATAAAATGTATATGTATAGCTTGTAATCTTTTATACTAAACTGCGGTAATACTTGTACAAATTGGCTATGACCGTTAAAATAAATAAAATAAAATATAAAAACTCGCCATATTTGATAATTATTACGGAAAGTAAATAAAAGAAACGTCTTATAACACGTAAAATAATTATTACATAAAGTGTGTGAGAAAATCTAGGAATTAAATTTAAATAATATGTTAACAAACAAAAAATTGTAATTGTAGTGGGTTGTTTCAAAAATATTATAACTTTGAGTTTAAAAACTTTTTAAACGTACTTTACTATTTTATCAAGAGAAAGGTCCCTCAATATACCCCTTATCTGTAATTTAAAACGTGTTTTATTTCGGTTTATTACTCAACCTAACATATGCATCTTGTCATGTAATTGTATACGTCTGTTGACACCATTCTCTTCGTATCATAGCACAGCCAATGTAATACAATTATTTTGATAACTCATCATATTTTAGGTTAAGTTAGGTTAGGTGTATACTTTGTGTTATAAACACTGTGTGTGAAAAAAACTAACTTAAAATTACTGTTTCAAAAAACCTTTGTGTTGCTGGTTATCCGTCAATTGTAGTTTGACATAAAAATACAGTAAAATAGCTAAGTTTTGGCCTGCTATTTTAACATGTACAAATTTCTTGATTTTTAGGTCCGCCTATGTACGTACATAAATCTAGGGAATTTGCTTAAAACGCATAGACAGAATTATTCTTAAATAAATGAAGTTAAAGTGTTCACAGCATTTAATTTAAAATCTTTTGCTATGAATTCCCAAAAGGTCCAATTAGTTTTTTACTTGTATGCTCAACGGTATTGACCCAATTGTACTTTTCTTTTATTATGGATTCGTAATTGGCTTGTATAGATGTAGTTTTAGGCATATATTACGACTCTTTGGTTTACGATTTTGTTCTTATTTTGCAAAACCACTATGGCGACCAATGAATCCACAAATCTCGTGTTAAACAAATTTTCCTTAAGTCTTCCTACAATTGCAGATTTATACCTATAAATAACCTAACCTAACCTGACCCATAATCGGTTACTATGACCTTGCAAAATTTCATGCGGATCGTTTCAGCCGTTCAGGAGAAGTATTTGTGAATAAAAACCAGGAGTGTAGTATAAGAGTTTCGCTCAATAACACTGTATAATTATTATACCTTTATATTTTATTAAATTATTTGTAATACATTTGTAAAAAAACCACCCTGTAATTTGAAACCAAACATCTCAATTCTCCTCTCTCTACCCCTAATATATCCCCCTACTTCCCATTGCCCAGAGAGCCTAGTACGGGCTCAACGTCTGTATACTACGAACACTATAAATAATTACACTACTTGCAGTTGTAAACAGATTTTTAATTGGCCACAGTTCATGTACAATAATAAATTATACACCTGGAAAGAATGTCACTAAAAGCGCGGTTTAAACGTTACCGAATATTATTTTAGTAATTATGTAGAATAATTTTAAAGTTGTTCACATATTTACAACTGTACTGTATCAATAACTTTTCCTACTTTTTCCCAATAAGCAATTACAATTAAGAGAAAACTTATTATGATGGTAATGTCCCATTAAAATAACAACAAAGTAAAATTCTTCGTATCAACATCGTCTCTCAATACTTAACTGGAAGCGGAAAACTTCTGGCTATATAATTCTGTCAGACACTGAATCCTCTTACGACCCTTACTAAGTCCTCTAATGAGGGGCCAACTTAGAACACAATATCTTATTCTTTTCTATCTATGATTTTATACAGCAATATTCCTAAAATACCGATCAGTATACTAGTGTACTGTCTTAAATACAAGGTGTATTTTAATTGTCATACATATCAATATTGTACACACACACATGATGAAGCTAATGTGAATAAAGGTGTAGAAAATTTGTATTATATTTTTCAAAAATGTTCTTGTCATTAAAAAAACTGAACACAAAAAAATGAGTGGATGAACAATGAACTCATGACTTAATAAATAATAAAAATAAACTTAATAATATGCTTTCAAAAGATAAAAATAATGTTCGGTTGAAAATGCAATATAAAACATTTTCGTGCTGGTGACGAGAAAAACTAGATTAACTAAGACAAATTGCTACTCTAGTCTGATGGGGATTCAATGGTTTATTGAAGTGCTATTAAAAGATAATTAGAATTATTAAAAGTAATTCATCTACTTTTGAGATGGATAAGATGATGTCCTCATTGAATGTGCTGGTAATGAGAAAGTTATTACAAATAAATTGTATGCATATTTACACAAATTGTACCTGAATTAAAGCATGAGAACTTTGGCTGTGATATGTTTGTAGAAGATTATATTACTGATGATATTTTTATTCAAGATTTTGTATTTATTGAGTCAGACTCAGACATTGTAGATATAGTTAAATCTTAAAAAAATAAGGCTAGTGCTGGAATAGATGGTATTAATATTTTTTTTATTGAGGATAACTTAGACTTATTCACCCCATTGTTATGTATAATTACTATAATTTCTTAGTATCAAGGTGTCTACCCAGGCAGGTTTAAGATAGCATCGGTAGTACCGATTCATAAGTCTGGAAGTTTATCTAAAATTTCGTCATAAATGCCTATATCCGTTATAAGTACCGTAGCTCAAGTTTTTGGGACTTTGGACTTTGGAAAAGGCTGTTGGAAAATTTTTAACAGATCTATTTTCTCTCAAAATCAATATGGGGTTTTTGCCAGGTAAAGGCAAAGATCTTGCTTTAGAAAGACATGTCAGTACTGTCACTGATGCCATTGACAAACGTATATAAACATTGTCTGTGTAATTGGATTTTCAAAAAGCATTCTATGTTTTGGATCATAATGTGCTGTTTTCAAAATTTAGAAAATATGGCATAGAGTAGAGCTTTCAATCGCCATAGTACACAGTAGTATACAGTACAGTAGTAGAGTAGTAGTGGTATAGTAGTAGTGTTCGCTTTATTATAGTAGAGCTTTGGAGTGGTCGCAATATTTTTGTAAAGGAAGAAAGCAGGCTATGGAAGTTAATAGTGTTTTGAGTGATGTGCTTGATTTGCAAACTGGCAGCCCTCAAGGAGGGGTTTTGAGCCCCATAATTTTTTTCCTTCAGCGTCTCTCTATTAACTTGATATATGCTGACCATACCATAGTCTTTCATACCTACACAGCAAAGTAGAAAAAGTTGAGATGGTAACAAACGACCTTGAAATGTTCGAAGAATTATTTCGACACTGAAAGCTAAATTCAAAGCCAATGAAAATCAAGTTTTCTTTAATTCAAATAAATTGCTGGTCATTCTTGTTAAAACTGTGAAATATTAATAACAATGACCATAAACTGAAAAACCATTTTAGGAAGATATTTAGAGGAAAACGAGGTGGGGTAAACGAGGTGGGGAAAACGAGGTGGGGAAAACTAGAAGGTAAAATCGGAAGAAAGCGTTGATCTACGTTATCTTGGATCGACCTCTCACGTTTATAAGTAATTTATAAAAAAGTTTCATCTACACTATCATACGACACACAACATTGCTGAGTATGCATGGGGAAGAAATGAAAAGGTTCCGCGTACTACTGCTTTGTCCCTGGTTTATGCTGCGAATGATAAAACTGCACTCCCGTAGGGCTTTTTCCATGTTCGTGATATATACGGATATGATAAATTAATATGCCTTTTAAGACTATTCAATATATTCACACATACATGAAAGATCCATACAGATAATTGGAATATTTTACAAACCATATATCGTAATTCGTTTACTGTTTCAGATCAGTGGCTTGAGTCAGCTCCAGCTTCATGATGGTGGTGAGATGAAACTGTTCAATGCCTGTGTGACCCTACGGCCGTGGCTTCTGCTATTGGTCATTCTCGGAGTTTGGTCGGAACCGAACCCGACCTGTCCCAAGCTTTCGGTCAATCCCAGCTGCCCGTGCTACAACTTCGAGAATGGCATCTTCCTGGAATGCCCAGGACCAAACAAGGAAACTGTCCAACGCATACTCGAGCTCATCACATCACCGATTCAATCCCTCAGCATCTATGACCTTGATAAATCGGTGACAGTGTTGTCGGGGGACTTCTTCCCCAGTTTTACTCGAATAAACCAACTACAGATATCCCAGAGCAGCCTGAAAGTGCTGCAAGAGGATGCCTTCTCTACTATTAAAGTGAGCTTGGATTCGTTAAGCATAATAGCGGGAAAGTTGGAGCAGATTCCTCAAAAATCCCTTACTGGACTTACGGTGCTGAGAAGTTTGGACTTGGAATCTAACGAGATAACCGATTTGCCAAGCTATAGCTTTTACGGTCTCCATCTTACGAAGTTAAACATGAAGGGAAATATGTTACAGAGAACTTCTGAGTACGCCTTTGCAGGGCTCGAAGCGACACTAACAGAATTGGATCTATCAGAGAATAAATTAAATTTTTTCCCAATGGCTTCACTTAGGAGACTGGAGCATCTAAGAACTCTCAGGTTAGCTTGGAATGAAATTGGGTCTATTCCCGATGACGGTTATTCAAAACTACAAGGGTTGACTTTCCTGGATCTGAGCTCAAATAACTTTGAAGCCATTAACAGCGATGCATTTCGTCCTTTACCGTCATTAAAGACACTGTCGCTTTATTACAATGGTATAGAAAGTATTGACAAGGAAGCTTTTGTTTCTTTACAGAGCCTCGAGTCAATTGATCTGAGTCACAATCGAGTGGTGTTTCTTGATGCTTCTACTTTCAAAACAAACAAAAGACTTAAGACTATAGATTTAAGCCACAATCATATTCACTATATTAACGGGGTATTTGAAAACCTCCCGGATCTAAGAGAAATTTTCCTATCAGAAAATAATATTTTAGAAATACCGAAAGATGCGTTTACAAACTCCATAATGTTGACAGTAATATATCTTCAACAAAATGCAATTAGGAGGATAGACGAAGAGGCTTTGACATCTTTGACGTCCCTTACCCAACTGTTCTTAAGCGATAATTTCATTGAATACTTTCCCCGTAATCTGTTAAACGGAAGTACTCAGCTATTCTCGCTAAGCCTTGATAGTAATTGGATCCACAGTTTGGAACCAGGCACATTTCAGAAGGTGAATGAGCTTAAAGAGCTTCGTCTCCAGAATAATCGGATTGCTAAGATTGAGCGCGGTGTTTTCGAACCACTGCCAAATCTGTTAGAGCTTCATCTGCACAATAATCTGATAACGAGGATAGAAGCAGGTGCTTTTCACAGCCTGCAAAGTCTTCAGCATGTAAATTTACAGGGAAATTTGCTCACTACTCTAGGAGACGTATTTCTTCATGAAACACCGTCGTTGGTTTCTATTCAACTTGATTCAAACGGATTGACTTGGCTTCACAACGACTCTCTGCAAGGACAGTCGAGTGTGCAGATTATGTGGTTAGGACACAATAAGCTAACTAAGCTAGACCGAACTTTGTTCAGAGACTTATTGCTTATCCAGCGCGTCTATTTAACTAACAATAGCATATCGCAAATAGAAGACGGCACATTTGCACCCATGCAAGCACTGTTATTTTTGGATTTAAGTCTTAATAAATTGAAATATATATCCGTTAAAATATTTTGGGATCTTCATGAGCTCGAAGAATTATATTTGTCAAACAACGGGATAAGACATATCGAAGCTAGAGCCTTGACATCATTAAAAAAACTTAGGATCCTGGACCTGTCTGAAAATGAGATAATTGTTCTACACGAACATATTTTCCAAGAGGGATTGCCAATTAGAGTATTAAACCTAAAAAATTGTTCAGTTTCAAAAGTTGACAAGGGTGCGTTTAGAGGATTAAATAACTTAAACGAACTAAACTTAGAGAACAACCGATTGGATGCTAACTCTTTAAGGTTTTTAGACATACCAGGATTAAAGGTTTTTAAAGTTTCTGGAAACAACCTATCAGACATTAACGTTAACACGTTGAGAGGGCTACCTCTTTTGCAGTATTTATCTTTAGACACTAACTCGATCTTTAACTTGCCATGGGATGTATTTGACTTTAACAAAGATCTAGTGCGTATATCTTTGGCAGGTAACCACTTGCAAAACCTTCCAGATAATATTTTTACGTCTCTAAAATACCTAAGAGAATTACGTTTAAACGAAAACGTTTTCAGTGAGGTTCCATATGTAGCGATAAACGGAAGCAATGCTCTTGAAATCCTGGTTATATCAAGCAATGAGCTATCAACAGTTGACGTCTCTAAACTTACTGGACTAACTAAAATTAGAGAAATCCAGTTTCAAGAAAATCGTATAGGATCGCTCACTGGCTTCGCAGCAGCCAATTGGAGTTATCTTGTGTCTATGGATCTGAGCAAAAACAGTCTTTCAGCATTACCTGCAAATTTTTTACATTTTGGTTCAACAGTAAGAAGATTAGACCTATCTCAAAACAAATTTAGACAGATTCCTACAACTGCTCTCTCGGAGCAAAACCTACCTGCATTAGCTTGGCTGAACCTGACGCAGAATCCTTTAACACAAGTCCACGATCTGTCTTCCGCGCGTCTTTACCCATCGCTAGAAGAGATTCACATAAGTGGTACCAACCTTACTATAGTTACCAGTAAGGACTTTGAATCATTTCCTTCTTTACTTCATCTATACCTTAGGAAAAACCGGATATCTAGGGTTTCTCCGGGAGCATTCAAGTCTCTACCGAATCTACTGACCCTTGACCTAGGAATAAACGAGCTAGAGCTCATACCACAAGAGAGACTGCAGGGTTTGAGTCATTTAAGGCTGTTTAACTTGAGCCATAACCGATTAAGAGATCTTGAAGACTTCCCGAGTGATCTTAGGTCATTGCAAGTGTTGGATTTATCGTATAACCAAATCACAAGAATATCAAAAGGGACACTCAAACATTTGCTGAATTTAGCAGAACTCCACATTTACGGCAACTGGATATCTTTTGTTGCTGTCGAATCATTCAAACCATTAAAGAAGCTCCGATTGTTAGATCTCAGCAGAAACTACCTGGAGAACCTCCCCCTAAATGCATTCCGCCCACTAGAAACGCAGATTAGGAGTCTCAAAACCGAAGGTATGTGAATATTATGTTTTCATTATAGTGTATGTATAGTGTATGTACTATTATACTATGCGTTGGTACATCTAAGTTGTGTCCTCATACAGGGAGTGGCAAAATTATCTGACGATTTTCTTTGCCGCCCGGAGCGAGTGAGTGGCGGAGGGTGTTGGGGATAGGGGTGATCCAAAGCGGACGTGGGGACATTTTAGCCATGGAGCTGTGGGCAGCTGAGCACCATGCATTTGTAGTGGAAGAGTTTTTTTAAGTGGCAATTCCTGTGTAGCTGTTCAACGGCAATCTGTAGACGTCTCAATGTGGGTCCAAGGGGAAAAGTCCCAACTCGAAACACCATTTTGCTGTAATTAATTAACCTGATAACAATCTAAAGACATGTACAAATTTTAAAAGTAGGGCCTTTTTGGGGATGAAGGGGTCTAATTTTCTGAAAACGCCCAAGTGGTTTTGTAGAAAATTTAATTCTTGACCATGAAAAGAATGTCTTCAAATCTTTGCTAGCTCTTGCCGTTTTTGAGCTATAGCAGTTTTATGAATACGTGTCTTTTTAAATCCATCTTTTTTGTCCGCCATTTTTAATTTTGTTTTTTTGGTGGGGGTTAACATTTTACAATGTCACTTAAGGTAATTTTCTGGGTGGTTTAGGACCAATACCTATAATTGTATGAAATTTCAGATCGTTAGCTATTCTAGAAGTGGGTAAACATTCGTATACCTGATCAGTCAGTCTGTGAGTTAGTTACACATCGGGCCTTTAAAAGATAATAGTTTAATAGATAGTTTAATAGATGAATAGATGAACTCGATTGACATTAACGACATTTAATTAAAACCAAAGTCAAACTTATTTACACATTTGTAGCAATCAGTTTTAAAATGCATGATTTTAATTTCTATTAAGTATTAGCCTACGTCGAATTGTTGAAGTGTTAAACTGGGTAAACCCTTGGCAAAACTTGGAGGGAATATGCTAAACTGTTTATTGGCTGGTCACAAAAAGAAACGTCCATAATATTATTTGCCACTGAATAACATTTTTATGTTTTTATCATCATTGTTCTTAAACTAATCTAATCATTAATTGCTAAATTTTTAATTTAAAAAGATATATCTAAAATATCATACTTTCAGAGATTACCAAAATTCTACTCGCGCTCTGTTTAAAAAATCAAAAAGAAACTAACGTTGGATTTTTCAAACGTCAATTCCTTGTGTTAGATTATAAATGTTTATATAAAGATGTTCGAAAACCAACTTCCCTTGCACAAGGGCGTATAAGAGTTCTCATTACTGAGCCAGCTTTAATGACTATGTCAGGCATTAGTGCCTTGATCTCTCAACCGGTATGACGTTGCCAACATCCAACAACTGCACTTGCAAAGCATCACCTGAGTTTGCAGAGATTTTCTCTTCGACCTCTAAAAAAATCTATATTGGCACTGATGTGTTTACTCACTTTACTTGAATTATAAATACCCCCGCCGCAGAAAACCTGCAGACTAAGCGAATTTCAACTTGTCTGATTACATTTTTACCAAAATATTTCCATAAATAAAACATAAGTTATATATTTCCAATTAAAATAACATTAGATTTAACGAGTGCTTAGGTTTGCTGCTACGGGGAAGGTTAAAAGTGTTTTTGACAATATGTCATTAGTATTGGATGAAATAAATAAATTTACCAAATTTTATCAACATTATATCCATAAACAAGTAAATTACAACAGTTTTAATTTTCTCCATAAGAATAACATGGGAATTTTAAATTACACTTTTTTTGAATTTTCTCTGTGACTGTTAGGCATACAACAGTGCTTCAATATACTAAATTATTTATTTTTTTAAGCTCTACAAAATGGTTGAGAAAGAAAATACAAAATTTTTTGTTTTTAGGTTAAAACATGGGGAAAACCCATTTTTACCCCATAAAACCGCCATAAACCGCTATTCTCATGGTCCGATTATGCTGGTTCGCGAACTCGTTCGAATAAACGTAGGTTTACACGTTTGTACCAAATTTCATCAAAATCGGATCATTTTTGCTCGAGTTATCGCGCTAATGGACACATAAATAAATAAATAAATAAATATATATATATTGTTATTGTATACATCAATGAGGGCTACTTTGATTTACTTAGTAATATAAATTTATATATATATATATATATATGTGAATTTGAACGGATGGTGTCTTTGGCCTCTGGGGACCTCAAAACGAAAAAGTAAATCGGTCCCGGGTCTAGGTCTTACCATGAGACCTACGGTTATAGCTTATTATATGGGAAATTCGCTAAAACTAGTATAAATTACATCCTATAAGATCCTTCTATAAAGATCACTTTTATATCGGACTCTTTTTTAAATTGCAAGATTTAATATGAATAATTAATTTTGTAGTGTAATTTTGTATTATATTTATTACAACAAACAATAAAAACCTACCCGATAACCTGATAATAGCTAATGCAATACATTTGTGTTTCTCTTATACTCTTTTATAAAACAATTTGATTTTGTGTCAATAAAAAAACATCTACTGTATACCTAAACCAAATTTTTTCTTGTTGTTCATTTAACTCAATCATAAAAGTGTAGCTTTAGCAATGTGTATATTACCTTTAACATTCCTATCCCTCAATCCAGCCAAACCAACAAAACAACTTCCACAGGGGAACAGGATTTTCAGAAACCTTTAATTCGTATTCTTTTGGTTTTTTATAAATTTTAATCGTTTGATTGTATACTTATTTGTATTCACAAACCGTTCCATATTTTAGGTAACTTGCTTATCATATAATGTCATTTTAATAGTTCAAACATGGTAATATTATTTGACCTAAACAGGGTTTACTTCTAGTCTAACAATGCAGTAGATTCAGTTTACGAGGTGTATTGCGAAAGCAACTGTCCTAAACATATATTTTGTCAACACTTTCACAGCGTACACAAACATGCACAAGTTAATTATGTGTAGTCGAAGCTGCGAGATTACAAAATGTTGGATTATTTGACGGATAAATAGTAACATTTGTTTCCGTCTTAAGTCCAGGGGCCATAAACATGTTGAACACATTTTGGTTTTAACAGTAGGTATGTTCTACTTATCCGTCTGTTTTTTAATTTGATACATCAACTAAATATTCTTTCATTAACTAAAATATTAATTGAAAAAAAAACTAATTGGTAACAGAGTAAAATAAGGCTGTTAGGTAATAGTAGTTTACGCAACGATTGCGTTAAGTGAGTCTTTACGACGCGAGTAGAAAATTTAAGGCACGAGCTTTGGTGAGTGCCTTAAAAACTTCTACGAGTGTCGTAAAGACTATTAACGCGAGTTGCGTACACTACTTTACCTACCACCGTTTTTTAATTACTATCAATCTGGATTTAATTACTAACAATCACTACTGATAACTTTTTAGAGAGGTTATGTTTTCGTTTATTGTCAGTGCAACTGAAAGTGATGCAACGACTTATTGTATAATCAGCTGATTTCATGTAATCACGTGTTTGTAAAACTTCGTTAAATAATAAGTTACCTTTTTCAGGCAATAGGTTCTGCTAGCAGTACTCTTACCATAAATACTGTATCAGGTACAATTAGGGAAATATTACATTTAATTTTTTTTGGACAGCTGAATGATTATAGTGAAAGAGTTAGATCTCAGCATCGAATATTATAGAATATTATAAGCAGTTTGTGCTCTCATTTCCATCTCGTCAACTTCACTTTCACTATATGACATTTTTAAAACAGTTTAGTCTACCTTCCTAGTATACTTCCACCAACTTAGGTTAAGAATACGCGAGTATCAACAGGAACAAGTAAGATCAACAATTAAAATTGTCAACTGATCAGCTGATCTGCTGATTAGTTGACGTTCGAAGCATTACAATTTTAATTCTTTCCTCTCAATACTTGAACCTCTATGGTCCGTTACCTGTGTTGATATGAGAAAAACTATGCTGATATGAAATGAAACTATGCTGATATGAAATGAAACTATGCTAATATGAAAGTAAACAGCTGTCAAGTGAAACTTTTCAATTCTAAGAACTGAACTGAAATGGCTACTTTAAAAAAACGGTCGCAGGTAAAACGATTTTTCCTTTATATCATTTATAATATATTTTGTTTTGGCAGGTTGCCGCATGCTAGAATTATTTATTGTATAGTTAATTACTGCCGATATATTAATACGATATTGACCACTAATTTGTATCGTACATGAAAACATAAACTGTCCATACAATCGTAATATAATTAGATCGTTAGAGTAAGTGTTTACTTACTAAACACCTCTGTAATAAACTAAAGAGGCAATTACCCAAAAAGCAAATATTGACTCAGTTTTATAATCATGTACAGTATTTTAGTATCAGTGTTTCGCTCAACAATTGTGTACAACAGTTGAATTGTCGTGGACATATTTGCACAATTTTTATTGGTGTTCATTTTATTTCAATTACTATCGACTTTGTATTAATTAAAAGTGACATTTAATACAATAAACTTAGAAAAATATTATTAGACTTTTAGTCCACTACGGGACGAGGGACGTTGTAGTATTATTGTTATAAAGAACATTGTTTTTTCCCAAGTTATCGAAGAATAACTAGAATCTCGTTGAAACAATAAGCAGATTAAGGTACATAGAATGTATTTTTTTACCATCAAACATAGGTAATTAATTCAACTCATAACTAACTTAGTCTAACCAAAAGCCATGTTTTTAACGATTATAATAATCAATAAATCAATGGAGTCTGATATTTAGGTATTGCCGTTCAGTAAACCCAAATGTCTTTATATGGCAGACTCTGCACTTAGTAAATCTGCTATAAATTAAGAAACGAAGGTGCAAATCAATAAAATATTTGACATTTACAAATCTTTATTGAATTTTAAAATTTTGGAAACAAGAAGCCGACGTGCAGCGATTGGTAGCTGAATAGTTATAGTGATCACCTAGCAAGCAAAAAAATTGTCGG